GACTACCCAGGAAGCTTAAGCCGGCAGCTGAGTCAGGGCCAGAAGGAGCTCCTAATTCCTCCTCCGGGGGATTCTGGGCAGGAAAAAATTTAGAAGTCAGGAAGCATTTACTTTCAGAAGTGGAAGTAAGAAGGGCCTCCACTGTCATTCCAAACATGTCTGAATAGGACTTGGAAGCAGAGCATGTCGATGACAGGTGCCAAAAGCAAAATGAAGACATTTTGCCACAATATGACATGTCCATAATAACTGTGAATTTCTGCACCAGAAAAAAAAAATTTCGACTGACTCCTGTATCTGCTAGAACATCTATTTCCAACCCACAAGTTATTAGTAGGGGATTTTTAAATGTGATTCCAATAGGAAACAAACAACATCCATAATGACAAACACAATTTATTCCAATGCTTTTCCAATACCAGTGCAGCAGTAGCTATTGCTGCTCTTGTATATGAAGCACTTGCAATATGCCAACAACAATGCTGAGTATTTTGTCTTTACAGCAAACTCAGGAGAGAGGTAGGTACCCTGTTATTCCCACTCTCACCCTTGTAAAATTAGGAGTGATTAAGTAACTTTTCAAAGTGATATGGCTTGTGAATGGTGAAGGGGTGAGACAGGACTCAGGTTCACACCGTCTCCACCCAGCGMCCCCACTTACTACCCCGCTGTCAGACACCCCCACACACGTGCTGTCATTTCTCTCTCAACTTCTCTTAGCCTATACCTTTAGTGCCTGGATGTCCTATTCTCCATCACCGTATAACCAAGGGACCAACTATCCTTGTCTCCAGGTAAAGCTGCCCTTTAAGTAAAGTATCATACTTGTTATTTGCTTTCTCCTTTTTAAACTGGACCCACTTTCTGCTTTCTTTTTTCTTCTCCACCCTGTATACTATACTCTCTTCCGTTTTGCATTGCTTTCCTCTGTTATCTGCCTGTCCTCTTTTCTCCCACCTAATTCCATTGCTCCACCATCTCTTATTCTTATTTCCCAAAATCTCTCGGTAACATGTTTTCTTCAAGGGACACGCATTGAAAACACAACACATTCAGAAGCCTTTGGGGTTAGCATTGTATTAAAAGTAAACAGAAAATAAAAATGTAAGTTGTAGTCAGAGAGGAAATATTCACTTTATGAAACATACATCTAATACAAGTCTTATGTCTAGAATATATAAAGTACCTCCAAAAATAAATAAGAAAAAAAATGGGGAAAACAAATTGGCATAAGATGATATACAAATATTTAATAATCATATTAAAAGGTAAATAGTATCACTATTTATCAGAGAAATATAAACTTAAACCATGGTAGGATACTACTACACATTCACCAGAATGACCMAAATCAAAAGGACTACAAACACTAAGTGTTGGTGAAATATATAGGAAAAAATGTGACTTCCATATATTGCTGGTGGAAGAGCAAAAGAGTACCTCATTTTGGAAAGTTGATGGGCAATAGAAAATGAACATTTGCCTAACTATGACTTAATAAATTCTATTCCTAAAAGAATTTCTACACCCAGGAGAAATCAGTGCATATGTTCACAAAAATAACTAGCATAAGAAAGTACTCAACAGATTTACTTTTAATATCTCCAAACTAGAAACAACACAAATGTTCATCAATCAATAATAGTGTGAATAAATAAATTATGGTATGTTCATAAAATTGAATACTATATTATAATGGAAAGAACAAATTGGGGGCTGGGATTGTGGCTCAGTGTTAAAGTGCTTGCCTAGCATGTGTGAGGCCCTGGGTTCAATCCTCAGCACCACATATAAATAAATAAATAAATAATAAAGGTACATTAACAACTAAAAAATATTTTTTTAAAAGAACAAACTGATGATCTACACACCGATATGAATAAATATTTTTTAAAAAATACATYTTGGAAGATAGAAGCTAGACACAAAGAGTATAACCATAAGATCCCATTTATATGAAGTTTAATAAGAGGCAAAATTAATCTTTTTTGACAAATATCAAGAAATAGGGTAGTTAGTGCATGGATATATATATAAATATCTCAAAATTCATCAGGATGTTTATTTGATATTTATATATTTCATTGCATATAAATTGTACTTAATAAAAAATAGTAAATGGATTAAGAAGTATTTAGGTAGGAAATTATGACATTCCAGATTACTTCTTGCCAAATTCATAACATTTCATTAATAGCTGAACCTCTTGCTTCAAGGAGGATTGATAAAAAGCCAGGAAGCTAGAATGATCCTACCCTCTATGGAAAACTAAATCATAGATGAATTCAAGGTTCTCAGCATACCAGGTCTTAAAAATTCGATTTTGTGTTCATTTAAAGTTTCCAAAGTTGCTGAATACACACAACCTAACGTGTTAGGCATACCCAAAGGAAATTGTTAAAATGTGCATTTGAACACATTCACATTGCTGAGGAAACAGTGGAAGTTGAATAATGAAAATGTTAATAATTAAAAACCCTCTCGAATGCAGTCTCCTGACCATGAGGAAGCTAAGAGCTGCCATCCATAAAATTTAGTGTTGCAGGCCAAACATCTTTTCCAGACACCAATTACTTCCAGGGCCACAATGTGGCTCTCCAAAGGGGTAGAACAAGTCCCTATAACTCACTGCCCAATATATGACAGAGCTCTCTGCTGTGGCAATATACGAGAGGAAATGGCAAAAAGTTATATTAAGAATGGAAAGAAAATAAATTTAAATGGCATGAGACATCTCCTTTACCATTAAAATACGCACATGCTAAGTAAGGTTCAGTATAGGTTGACAATGGGACCCCAGGACACCCTTAGGTTTATTAATGGGGAACTGGACTGTGGCCAACARAGCTAGCTAACATAACCACTTCTGATGGCTCTGAAGGAATCGGGATTCCAGTTAACCGAATGGTCATAGAATATAACTCCTGACTTCACCTTCTACTTTTTTTCAAGGTTTAGACAATCCAAAAAATTATACTTTTGAATTTCTTATTACTCGGTATTCAATTTGAAAATTGCATTTGCTTCCTAAGATAATAACAATCACTTTAATGAATCCTTAGTCTTTGTTTCTTGTTGATTGGGCATTTCTCTTGGCTGTCTTTTGGAACAGAAGTTATCCTTGTCTCATCTTCATAAAAGACAAATTATTTGCTTCCTAACACTGAATAAATATGTAAAATGGTAACCATAATATTGCTCATACTTAATTCTTAGGTTCTTGATTAAGATAAAAGAAAATTTGAAACAACAGAAGTGCTAGGACATAGAAAATTCTGAATACTGAAGTTCCTTGGCTCTTGGAAACAATTTTTTTAGCAACACATTAAAATCTAATTAAATAAGCCTAGCTTTTACCTGAGATTTTTAATTATACATATTACCAAACTATATGGAGATACTATTACTGAATCATTTTCTTTTACAAGCACATGGGCTTGAAATGAGAAATCATGTTTAGCCACCAAATTTTAAGATACCAAGTTAATTGAATATACCAGGGGCTTAAATCAGTTCATTTAAATTTAATTATAATACCTTCTCCCTCAAATGTGGAGAAAGAAGACAATTATTCTAAGACGAACCTGGTATACAGAGAAGAGTTCATCAAGCCTCTTACTATTGAATTTAAAAGGCTCTTTTGAAAAATTGAACCTTAACTAGTATCTGAAAACTTAGATTTCAGGAGGTATCCCACCATTCTCTAAATTTTAAGAGTGGCTCATTGTGCCCCAATTGCTTATGCAAACAATGTGGTTTAGGTTGAACACATACTTTCCTCCTTAGAAGTCTGGAATTTTGGTACATTCTAGTCAGAAGGTACCTAGCTAACTAATTCCTAATAAAAACTCCAGGCACTGAGTTCCTGGTAGGCTTCCTGGTAAAAGACATCCCTGATGAAAACCTTTCACGTTATTACAACTCAGTACTGGAGGAATTAAATGCATTCCTATTTTACTCCACTTGGAGAGTAGCTTCTGGGAGTTTGCATCTGATTTCTGCAGATTTTGCCATGTGTGCCCTTTCCTTTTGCTTTAAATTCTTTTGCCATAATCAAAGCCAATAACATGACCATCTGATGAGCTCTGGGAGCTCCTCTTTTCTTTGCTTCAAGGTTAGAATTTGTTGCATTCTTATTTACCTGGTATTGATGACCTGTGTCTTTTAATAATAAAAGTTCTTTGGATGGGTCTATAATAATCTAAACAGCTAAATTCAGTATCTTAGAGTCAAGTTACTCGCCAAATATTTTAGCACAACTTCCCTTTAAAAAAATATTTTTAGTTGTAGATGGACACAATACCTTTGTTTTATTTATTTATTTTTTATGTGGTGCTGAGGATTGAACCCAGAGCCTCACATGTGCTAGGCAAGCACTTGATTTTTAGGGATGGTACCTTTTGGATTTCACTACAAAATACAAAAGGTACCACCCCTAAAAATCCCTTTAACTAGGAAGAGAATGAAAAATAATCACATTTGTAGCATAAATTGATTTGTTCATGTAAGTCTTATTAAATGCTCAATTGTCTGTCTGTGTGAGCCACTAGGTTTCATTTCCTTCCCCCCACCTTTTTTTCCTATCCAAGCTTCTTAAAAATGCAGCTGGCCAGAGTAAATAATGAATGTGCCCACTCTCCTCGTTTTCTTTTACATTTTTTAACCTGCTTATGTTGCTATTAAGAATAAAAATTTTACTGGTAAATAGCAAGAAAAAGAAAAAAAAACCCTATGAAGTAGAAAGTTATTTGATACGGATGTGACCTTGACTGATCCTTTTATAAGAACTAACACTAAATAGAGAGCCTTATGTTGAGAACTAAAAAAGTATTATGGTAAGTAACACCTCAAAGTGTCAAAGGCCAAATTATTAGGCTCAGGAATATAATTGCATATTTCTTTTTATTCTAATTACAGTGCAATCTCTTCTTGATTCCAAGTTCGTTTTGCATCAATGAGCACTGACTACTGTTTCCACATATGTATGCCTACACGGTAATTTGTCCATTAGTTCTCATTTGTTAACAATCCTTGTATTAAATTACAAATATCCAATATTAATTTTCCATGTATAATTCCCTTTGCCTGGATGCTTATTAGCTTTCACCAATACATTTTCAATGCCTTCTTGTAAAATAATGGACTAAAATGCTTCATCCTGCAGAGTAGAGATGTTACCTGAGAAAAAGCATCCTTTTTTTCCCCCCTGGACTCCCAAAACACTATTGTCATCCTACTCAAATCAAGCAATGAACCAGAAAAACTCAGAAGACCGCAGATAACAATCGCCATCAAAAATATAAAATAGGGAAATGTCACCCGAGGGCACTCACCCACTGGAGTCTGCAGAAGTGATAGCAATCAGTGGCAGGATCTTCAGAGGGAGGCTGGTGGGTCGTGGAATGTTCTCTGATTCACTTTTCAAGTCAGCTTGTTCCAACTGTCTGAAGGCAAGAGGAGGAAGCTGAATATTTCTGCATGAAAGTCTCCGCACAAGATAGGGTTCCATTCCCCGGAAAGGGTCTTCCTCTTCATTACTGGAATGCAGTGTTTCCTCAGAGGCCTATGAATAAAGTTCAAGAAAAGACACACAATCAATAAAGGTTCCCATGTTTATGGTTCATAATGGCTTCATACYTTCTGGGGGAAAAATTAACTTAATTTCACATTAACAATAGTAGTTACTGAAAAGATTAGAATTTATAACTGAAGTTAAGGCTTATTTTGAAAGCAGTAAATTTGTTCACCAGTATGTTTAAGAATAGTTTGGTTGAAACCATTCATTAACATCTTCAGTAATCTTAGAGTTCATTAATTTTTGCATGAATTATATAAAGTCAAAGGTAAATCAAAATGTTTTTCTACCTTGTATGAAATGAATTGCAAAAACATAATTTCCTTTTATATCTTGAGTTATTCATGTCAGGATGTGTGTGTGTGTGTGTGTGTGTGTGTGTGTGTTCTCACATAGATACCTATGAAAAGAGAGGTAGAAATTGACTCCAATTTTTTTCATACTTAGCACCATATTTGCAACACGTTTTCATACATCTCTAATATTTTCTTGCCAATTGCTATAATAAGAATTTCTGAGAGGGATTTTTAAAAAGGTATGAAAAGAAAATCTGAACGCTGATAGGATTTAAAATGCACCTGAATTTTGAAAAATTTGAGCTACAGTACCCACATGCAAAGGCAAATCAAGTCTAGAATCAAGTAGAAAATTTAGTATTTTTATTTTAATTGAGAAAAATGTACCATTACATGAACAATAATTATTTCTAAGTTGTTAAAAAGGTCCGCTGGAGTAACATTTATTATATTCACATGCTTAGAATTATAGTATCATCAAATGCTGCAACACGCTTCAATAGAGTGCTAGGTTTTTGAATACTTGCCACTTTACCAGTTGGGTTTTGGTGTGTGTGTGTGTGTGTGTGTGTGTGTGTGTGTGTGTGTGTGTGTGTGTAACAGGGATTGAACCCAGGGGCACTAACTACTGGAAAACATCCCAGTCCTTTTATATTTTATTTAGAGACAGGATCTTGCTGAGTTAGTGCCTCACTAAGTTGCTGAGGCTGGCTTTGAACTTGAGATCTTCCTGCTTCAACCTCTGGAGCTGCTGAGATTATAGGCATGTGCCACCATGTCCAGCACCACCTGTGTTGTTTAATCTAAGGAGTAAGTTTCTTTCTCATAAAAACAGGACTAGTATTTACCCATAAGAATTAAATGATACATGGATAGCTGATTGCCTGTAATGTGCTAAGGAATGGTAAAGGGYGATTTCTTCCCTTCTGAGTTTTATAAATAAAGAAACTCACCCGGAGGCAAAGTACCTTCCTGCAAACTAGCTTTTGGTTATAAGTTAAAACTGCATGAACTTTGGAGCATTCAGAACCAGAATATAATCCTTATTGCACTCCTTATTATACCACTATCTTGGATCAATTAACTTGAGCTAAGGTTATTTCTCCAAAAACCGAGATAATTTTCTCTGAAAATTGAGGTAATATTATTTACCTCTTGAGATCATGGTTTGGAGCAGGTACAAAGATTCATAAGCACCCATATCTGGCTCAGTTTGTACTCAACAAAGTGGCTGTTATTATGATTGGAATCCAGTCTAATTCTTTTTTTTAATAGCACTATTCTACCTTTGATGCTCATTCTAACCTGGTTGATTTCCAAATAGAAAATGTGTCTCTTCCTGTTATACATCTTAAAAACTATGAAAGCAACAATGGACTATTCAGCCTTGCCTTGTGTTGTCTAATTTTATGGATCACTAGTAAAATACAAGAATACCTAAAAGGTGAAGAAGAGGTTTATTTCAAATCCTAGACTTGAAGATCTAGATTCTGAGAATCTGTGCTTTGAAGAACACATTTGCTTTTTAAAATGACATCAATAACAGTAATTACATATATTTACTGAATCCTTTAAGTGGTGCTATGYTTTACTTGTACCATCTTATTTAATTGGTATTAAAATCCTGTTAGATAACTCCTCTTTTCTCCTTTTACACACAAAGGAACAGAGATCTATTAAATTACAGACCTTGGCCAAATGGCCACACATCAAGTAGGTCGACCAACTATCCCTGTTTGGTAGGAACTTTCTGATTTTAGCAATTGAAGTCCTGTGTCTGGGAAAACACCGCACTACCAAGCAAACCAGGATGGATAGYCACCCTCCAAGTCAGGATCCAATTTCAAATCTCTTTGAATGAAAGCATGATGTTACACTACCTAAACAGGTGCAGGGTGTACACAACTAGACATGAATAGAACACATGCTAATTCACCACAACTTTATAAACTTCACACTTGCATTTTTTGTTAATTAACAGAATGGAGGTCAAACAATCCTATGAAAACATTCAAAAGTCATGGTAATATGTGACTAAATCAGGAGATAGAAATTTTAGATCCTGCTATACCAGTGATTACTCATGTGGTCTTAAGAAGTCACTTAACCTCTCCAGACCCTTAAAGCTTAGGTGGTAACAATTAATGGCAAAAAAATTAAATATTTAGTGAATTGGCAGATATGGAAAATAAGGAGAAAACACATGCAAGTCACATTCTTAGCTTTTACATGAGGAAAATAAGCTGCATGTGCATGAGAAGTTTATCTATGAACAGAACTGAAAACTGACCCCCACTCTTGGGTTACTAACAGGTMATAATTAAGTTAATAGCTTATGTGTATGGAGAGCTTTCTTCAAAATGCACATAGAAAGAAGAAAAACAGATGGGTCTACTAAAGCTTTGGTCACACTGAATGTAGCTAGCTGAAGTTCACACCTTTTTTATTAGATGCGTAGATATCCACTGTGAGCATTTGCAAATGGCAAAAATGCTTTATATAACCCAGGTTATTTGATGAATGACTTAATGTTTGTGACATTCTCTTTTCAATAAAACTGACTCAAGGGGTAATTTCTTTTGAGAGAAATCATCTCTATTAAAAATAAAGTTTAAATTCAAGCTCATATATTGTCAGTTTAAGCCCAAACTTCCTGTAGGTACTTTATTCTTGATCATAAAAATGATTAAGCAATAGATATTTATATTCTAACATTTTTGACTCAAAAACTGTATAACAAGTGATCTTTTCACACTCCAGGTCAATGTGTTTCAATTATACTAGAGAAATAAAATGGAATAACTTTATCACATAGAAGGCAGGAGTTTAAATGCTCTTATTTTGGAAAGAAATATAAATCTAACCAACAGAGCAATTCATATCTTGTATTATTGCCAGAAAAAAATGGCATTTTTGCAAGGAGTTCAGGAAAAAGATGTTATTTCTAACATCCTAAAGCCCTTATTTCTCAAATCATAGTACTAAACTCCCTGCATTAGAATCAAGGAAGGTTCTTGATTTATTMAGACTCTCAGGTCCTCTTGCAGATATGCGTAATCAAAATCTCTATGATTACAGCCTAAGAGTCCAAATAAATCTCCACTATGATTCTTATGTGTACTAAAATTTGAGAACTAATGGTTTTGACATTTTAGGCATAGTCTAATAAGATTATCTGGCAAAGATCTAGCCACAAAGACATTCATTGCAGCTCATTTATAATAACAAATAACTGAATGTAATCTAATTGCTACACTGAAGGATTGGCTTAATAAATTTTGATGTATCATATGATGAAATACTATGATAATGTTATAATAATGCAGAAGAATATGTGATTATGTTCATGACATAATGTTGAGTGTAAGAACAGATTATAGAGTGATCTCATTTTTATGAAACAACATCAAAACAAAAAAGTCACATAGTCATACAAACATTCTGGAAGGATATAGCCTAACTCCCTAAAGTAGCTCTCTGTTTAGTGGTATGAGTGGTTACTTTGTTTCATATCTTATTTCTTACAAGTTTCTATATTCTCCATGATAAAAATGTTTTCATTGAAAAGCACATGAAAATCTCAGAAATAAAATGAAACAAAGTTCACTTTGCTATTAATGGGACTTAAAAAAACCACTTGTTCAGCTTCAAAATATATAATATCAAAAGAAAAACACTAAAATATTTGGATGAATTGTTTGATTACAATAAAATAAAAAATTTCATGATAATTAGCCAATTTATGTGTAATAGTTGACAGACAAGTAACTTTAATGTGATGCTTTTCACTGTTAGAATAAATACCCCTTCAAAACATATACTTAAGAAAGAAACTCCATACTATTACCACTTATTATGGATAAGTATTAAATCTGTGATTATTATTATTACTTTTTTGTTTTCTTCAGTTTCTAAGCAATGTATAATTAATTTCTCAGTTCTTTTTTTCATCTTTTCAAAGTAGGTTGCAAACCACACACACACACACACACACACACACACACACACACACACAATGTCATGAATATAATACTCATATGCATTATATGAAAGAATATTTCTTTTTAGACACACAGCTAGACCACACTTCTAGATTCCCTTACAGGTAGATGTAGACATGTCAATGAGTGTTTTATTACATGACTCAGGAGATGTGTGTGACTTTCACATGTGACTAAAAAGACTGTGGATACAATCCTCCAATTTGACCTCCTTCTGCAGTCCCTTGCCATATGTTGAAGATAGTAGGGTCACAGGGTGAAAGAAGTTATAGTMCTTAATCACTGATTACAGGAAAGCCACTTGCCAATCACAATGCTTTATTTGGTCTGCATTAGTCACAAGTAGTCAGTATGGATATAAGTCACTAAAATTYGAGGGACTCTTGTTATAGGGGTCTATTTTGTATGTATAGGCACTTCTATATTCTCTGAGTTCAACCTATCTTATTCATGATACTATTTCCTGATTGATTCCTTAAGCAGTTACTGAGCACCTACCACCTTTCAAGCCTGTCTTGGGTGCTAGAAATACATAGGCAAATTGGCACTTTCTTTCTTGTAAGTGCCTTACTTGGGGAGAAAGATAAGAAGAGAGATACTCACCAGAATATGATAAAAGCTGTAGCAGAGACTTAGGGTTCTTTAGGAGTATCTAGGTGGGCTTTCTCAAGCGTTTCTTTCTAGCCAGATG